ATAAAGTCTCTTGAAGATTCTTACCCCTACATACATCAGGTAAAGTGCAATAAAAAAAAGAAGTCTCCCTTAGCAACGTAAATGCTGGAGACAAAAACTACAACGTTTCAGTTATGATTTTACAATTTCAATATGAAGACAAGGTCATGTGAAATTTAATGCCAAAAAAAGAGTAATGAAAGCTTAAATATGAAGTGAGCATATCTGATTATATTCTGGAGGAGAAATATTATTATTTCAAAGGGACATTTTTTAAAAAAAAAAAGAAGTGAGCAAATTGATTTGTTATGTTATGATAAATTATTGCACATATTAAACAGCATATTCATGATAAATTATCTCTTATATATAAAGCAAAGAGAGGAAGAGAGGGAGGGCTGGAGGGAGGGAAGGAAAGATGGAGGAAGGAAGGAGCATTCACAAAGATAGCACTATTTGAGAAAAGCCAAATCTTATGAGTTAAACCTTCCGAAATGAATGTAACACTACAAAAAGATTCTGTTTCTTGCTCCTTAAAACAGTCCAAGTCATTTAGTCATTTCTACAACTAAAAAGGTTCATGTAAACATCTTAACTTAAAATATGAGTCAAAACTTCGTCAGGCTTTGACTCAATTATGACAGAAGAGACTGAACCACCTTGGTTGAAAATGACTTTTGAAAAAGTGGTAATTTATGGCATTCTGTATAAAAGGAGGCATTGTTCACCCTATCTGTGACAAAGACATTTGCCTGTTACTTCACCTGGGTGGAGCCAGGAAGGGCAGGTGCAGGTCACAGTTAATATATAACTTGATGGATAATTAAATAGAAACCTGAAAGTTGTTCACATCATCATCAAACTGGAATATCAAATAGAGAGAAACTGGGAGAGAAGGGAGACAAGTTGAATGTTTTAAAATATCAGGGGCAAAAAAGGGAATGAGAAGAATACAAAGAGGAAACTTCCCCCACAATTATCCTTTTATGTTTCTGTGAGTGCTAAGGAAGAAATTCTCTAGAGCAGTGGTTCTCAACCTTCCTAATGCTGTGACCCTTTAATACAGGTTCCTCATGTTGTGGTAACACCTCACCACAAAATTATTTTCATTGCTACTTCATAACTGTAATTGCTACTGTTATGAATTGTAATGTAAATATATGACATGCAATCCCTATGAAAGGGTGAACCCCAAAGGGGTCACAGTCTACAGGTTGAGAACCACTGCTCAAAATGGTCATTTTAACCAAAACACATCCTCTCCTCCAGTGAAACACATCAGAAGAAAAATGAGATGGAAAGGGCATACACACTAGGAAACACATTTTCTCATAACGAAAAAGAAGGTGTTTCTGGAGAAGTCAAATAAAACAATAGGAGTCACCCCTCATTTCGATCCAGACCTTCAAGCTTGGCTCTCTAAGGCTTTACTGAGGAAATAACATATCTAATGACAGGGACTGAATTGTTAATATAAAGAAGAAAAAATACGTTACATGTTGCTCTGCAAAAAAAAAAAAGAATTAAGCTATTGTTTTTACATTAAAATGAAAATATTCGGTGGAGAAATTACCATTATCTAAACATATTGGTTCCATGATCAGCAAGTCATTGTTTATTTTGCATGCTCACAAATCATCAAAACACACTTAACAGCATTCTGTCTCGGATCTCTGCACCTGCGGCATGCTTACTAGCCCAATCGATTGCAGTAATTATATCTAGCTCAGCCTTTGGTTATCAATAGAGGCATTGTTCAAAATGCATGGTCATCATTGTAGTCCAAGTAAATCCATATATTTAGGGTAGAATGTGAAGATGTTTTGTAATAATTCAAAAGGACCATAAATTGATACAATAATAGATTTGGAGTTAATTTCAGGAAAGCATAAGCTTCATTCAAAAGAGTTCTGGTTTGGTTTGGTTTAATCCATTTAATGCAGAATGATACTGACTGCCTTAGGATATCTTGATGTAAAAACCATTAAATAAAACGTCTCAATTTCTAGATTTTGCATTAATCTCTAACTTTGCTTTTAGCCCTGAGAGGCTATTTCCAGACAAAATTTCAGCTCCTAATCTGTTCAATAGGCTGCCCAGCTGTATCATGCGAGCTACGATAAATACATCTCTGCTCAGTCCGGTCATCTTTAGCATCTGACACTTTGTAACAGCGTTTTGAAATCATATTTTATGGCAGTGAACCTGCGAGGGGAAATTTATGAACTTAACCATCCCATCCAACATCTCCTGTCATGTGGAACTGCCCTCGGTACAAGGGAGATTAGTGAATGTGAGCTGCTTCAATTTGGCCGGCTGCCTGCCTAAGGAATGGTCTATTACATGGGCGAATGAGATTAGCCAAGTTTGGAAACATTCAATTCGTTCTACGGCAGATTGAGAGAGAGCAGGAGTGAGTGGAGCTGAACATGAATGTCCTCGGAGGAAGTTCTAGTCTGGTAGCAAAGCCAGCATCATGAATCATTGACACTCACTGTTTTTTTTTTTTTTTTTTTTTAAAGTGGACCTAACCTAAGTTGTGAGCGAACTTTTCAATTTGCTTCATTATAGACTCAGGACACAAAGGATTTATAAGTCGTGCTCAACATATAGAAAGCAGTTGAGTGTAAATGTGCCTTTCCTGGCTGTATGGTGGCCCCAGGATTCTACACACCCAGCAAATGAGGTCAGGGGAGCTTTGAAATTCACATGTAAGTAGAATGCTAGATTTCTTTCACATTCTGTGGTATCAAATGTCCTATCCTCAGGTCAGATGTCCTACCCTCAAACAAGGACATATAAAAGAATTAATTAATGAAAAAATATAAGCACAATTATTCCTGTAGTCCCCAAATATTTGAAAAGCACATTTTCATCCAATTATCTGGAAATACACAGGTATAAGTTGCAACAAAAACAAGGTTTAGACTTGTATAACCACACAAGAATGGTGAAAAAAGAAAATGGCAATTCTTTTTAATGACAAGAATTTTCTGCACTATAAATGGAATTCATCATTGCACAAGACAATGAAGGTGATAAATTACAGACAAATTAACCTGATATGTTACAAGGGAGCTTGCTTGAAGAAAAATTAAGTTTCAAGATTATATAAAAAGTAAAAATCTTTATTTTATAGCAGTTAATCAAATTTTGAGGGATATAATTTGCATGGATAATTATATGTGAAATTCATTTTAACATCTGTAGTTCATTTCCATATAAATACTACATTATATTCTAATAACCTGTCCACAATGAATTCCTAATCCAAATATCACATTAATCTTCAAAAATATTAGTTTTGTACAAACAATAGGTATTTTATATGTGCTTTTATGGACAATGAAATCTGATTTCCTAACAGAAATTTCTATTTCTGTAATATATAGAATTAACCATGATAAATTACATACCAATAAGATTTCTCCCCAAAATGAAAACAGGCTGCCTCTAAACCTCTTTAAAGGTTCAAACTTAGAGCAGTCTTACAAACGGAACATAAATAACTGGAAAATGTTTTAATATTAATTTTCCTCTCAGTTCTGAGATGAAATCTCACCATGCTGTCAAATCTGGACTTCAACTCAAGCATCAGGAGGTCCTACCACCTCAGCCTCTCAGGAGGCTGGATCACAGCTGGACACTGTTCAGTCATCTCCACCTCATTCTATGTGTAAAATCAATGACTCTCCATGAGAAAATATGATGACCCTTTTCAAAGCTACATAAAGACTTCAGAGCCATTCAGGGTTAATCAATCATTTAAACTAACCCAAATCTTGGAGTTTAAGGGATCCATGAAAAGGACTTGGTCCCCATGGCTTACTGTACATGTTAAGAAACTGAAGCTGGGGAAAGCAGTATTTCCAAACGTCAAAGAGCTCACACATGGCACATGAAACATTCCTTATATCTTACAAACACAAATGTAATTTAAATTTTAAGATTGTTACTAGCTATCACTTTTAAATTAATGTTTAAAGAAGATATTATACTTACGTTCTTTTATAAACCTATTCATTATAGATTATAAAATGTGATGAGTTTACATGTTCTGATTTCATCCAGCATTTTTCATTTTACATTGCTTATCCACTTAATATTTAAGATTAAAAATTGTACAGCTCATGCCTATTTGTTGCATTTAATAACACAAATAGAGATGTACAATTTCTCTTTGGTGGCAAAATAAAGTTTTATGTAGATTTTAAAGATTTAACTTATTTTTTTATTTTATGTATAGAAGAGTTTGGCTTGCAACATGTAAGTGCATGCAGTACTCAAGGAAGCCATAAGGAAGTATCAGAGACCTAGAAATAAAGTTACAGACAGTTGTGAGCTACCATGTGGGTGCTGGAATCTGACCCTAGGTCCTCAGCAGCAGCAGTGAGTACTCTTAACTGCTGAGCCATCTCTCTAGGCCCTGGAGTTTTATATTATGTGTATGTATATTGCCATATTGTCCTATTATTATATAAAGTCCCCACTGACAGTTTTCTTTTCTCTCTTCTCCAGCATTCAGCACATAAAATGCAAATAGAGTACACATTCTCTACAACCAGTTGTGAAATGACTTGAGCCCTATAAAGTAATTAGTACTCTCAAGCTAGAAGAATTGCATTACCCCTCAAACCTACTATGCTAATACAAATCTGGACAATGGAATTTTTGTCAACTCTAACAAATCTAAAATATCATATATTCTCAAAAATAAGCTGTCTCAGAAATAATAATTCAGTGCCATGTGGCTACCCACAGCATGCTTGTGAGGTCTCGAGATGAATGGTGTAGTTTCCCACCCAGTACCTTCCCTGGGTCAAGAGTGTTTTCTTTTAGAGAAAACTTTGAGGTGCTTCAAAATACCCCCCTTGATTAATAAAGAATTTCTATTTGTATACACAGTGATCTTTTCCATTTTCCAGGGGTAGAACCTATTAAACATATTTTCTTACACATATATTATTGTTACTTTATACAGGCACTTGTAATACAAAATACTTTATTATATGTATACTCACCTGCTCAGAAAACAGGCTACTGTTGTCTTCAAGGTATTTACTGAAGGGGTTGGGTTCATAAACTTCTTCCTCCTTTCTCAGTAGTAGTTTGGATTTGACAGGTACTGGGCGAATTACTCCAGGCTTAGTCTTCATGAAGGAGAAATATTTTTAAAATGGAGGTGAAAAAACACTATTAAAAATGAGTATTATTATTGTTGTTACCCAAATGCTCTCACAAAATTTTTCTTTTGAAATCTGAAGTGATTTGAAATCATAGATAAAGCATCCCAGAAATTAGATTATTTTAACAATGTAACTAAGTGTTAAAAAAATCAATATAATTGTTAACAAATTGTAATCAATTAGTTCATTGATTACAGTAGCAACTAAGTCATAAAGATCTCCTATCACAATATGAAATTGCAAAACCACACCAAACATGTTCCTCTACCCTTCATTTGACAAATGTTTTTTGAGTGCCTGTTCTGCAATGTACAGTATAGATATAGAGGACCTTGGAAAGTCCACCCACATTATGTATAAGCCACACTCATATTACATATGGCTGAACTAGATCTAGAAGGAAAATAGAATGTGATAGAGAGGTCTGGGTTACCTGCAATTACTGTGTGTCGATGCAGGAGCTGTAACATGCCCTAATTTCACTTAAAAGTTAGATCTACTGAAATGAAGCTTTGTGAAGCTGCTACCCAAAGTGGAAAGCCCTAGATGAAGGCCAAAGCACCCATGTGGTCCAGCTGGGCTTCCCCAGGACTGTCCTCTCCTTATACACTGATGTAGTTTGTATCAGAATAGCCCTAATGAACACATCAGTCACTGTGAACTCATAAAACTGTAGTCACTGACAATATGAGAGGGAGTTTCTTTCACTTGGGGCAATTTCTAAATGTTTCACCAAGTGTAAAATCTCGTGACACTGTCAAATACCACCAAATGATTGATCTGTTTTGAAACCATGCCAAGTAAAAATTCAATAAAAAGAAAGAGTGCCCCTCTTTGTTTGAGCTCTCCTCTGTAATCATTCTTCTTAAGCCCATTCTTCCCAGAAAACTGTAAATTAGCCCTGCCTAGTCAAACCTGGTGCTCACAAGTTAAGCCTTAGGAGACTACATCTCTCTCTCTGCTCTATAAAGCACTTGATGTATTTTGAGTCTTGAATAAATGTCTCTCTCTAATACTTTTTTCAGTTGCTATTTCCCTAGTTGTTGTCCATGTACACACCAAGTGGGGAAACACAGATTGAGAAAGTGCTTTTCTTCTCCAGCCTGAGAAATAGCTCTGACTTAAGAAACTCATTTATCTCCAGAGACAAAAAATGAGCCAGTAGTATCCAGTGATTTAACAAGTGTGAGAACACTATTCCTCAAGCGAACAGCGTAAGAACACCACTCAGGCAGTCTCCAATTCTACTCCCTGGTCCTGGGACCATGACCCTATGTTGTACACAAGTCCTTCTTTTCCATGAGGGTCCCTGCTAATTTCTCCTTCCCTCTTCTCATATTCCTGTACTTTCTTCATGAAATCAATATAGGAAATCCAAACAACCTCACACATGCCCAAACCAACATGGAACTTTAGGAGTTTAAGCCAGGTGTCAGCACACAGAGAGGGAAACACTGCCTAGCGGAATTTGATATGGTAGAGAATCTCTGCGCCAGAGAAACATGGCTGTCTCATTTCCTGTATTTCTAGCAGATGTTTTGAGTTATATTGGCCTAGACTTGTGACCACCTTCAAGAATGAGATCAGAAAAGAGATCAGTTTGGGCCAGTGAGATGGTTCAGAGCAAAGGAGGTTGCTGTTTAGCCAGACAATCTGAATGCAATCCCCAAAACCCACATGGTAGAAGTTAACAACTCCCATCAGTTGTCCTCTGTGCACGCGCGCGCACACACACACACACACACACACACACACACACACACACACATACACACACACACACACATACACACACACACACACACACACACACACACACACACTAAAATTTTAAAATAATGTAAAAAAATAGAACAAAGGAAGGAAACTTTTCAAGGTGTGAAATCTTAAATGCAATACATTCAGTATCACAGTCAGTTACTGACACCTCACGTTGCTTCTCTGCCAAGCTTTCTGCTCCTTACTTTCTGTGTGGCCTTACTTTCTTGGATATAGTGGCCTTCTGATTTCTAGACGATTATTGGGCCTTATTTCCTGTTTCCTCGGTGCTGTGCAGTTTTTCCTCTTTTCATTATTATTAAAAAATGAATCTCTGACTTTGCCTACCTGAAGTATCTGAGTCGTCCATGTTCTTTATTGCTAACTTGGTTTGCACAGATTGCTTTTTCTTAAATTGTGCATTGCCTCTTTCTTTGTTTTTAATTTTGCTTCTGTACCATGATTTGGTATAATTGTCAGTATTTTATAGCCATAAGTGGAAACCAGAGGAAGGGAAAAAAACAGACAGAGATTGTCTTTGATAGTGTTCACGTTCCCCATCATATGACCTTTATCATAGCTTCCAAATTCTCTCACTATTGGTCAGTTAAAAACTCTAGTCATAGCCAGGCGGTGGTGGCACACACCTTTAATCCCAGCACTTGGGAGGCAGAGGCAGGCGGATCTCTGTGAGTTCGAGTCCAGCCTGGGCTACAGAGTGAGTTCCAGGAAAGGCGCAAAGCTACACAGAGAAACCCTGTCTCGAAAAAAAAAAAATAAAAAAATAAAAAACTCTAGTCATTGTACACAACAAATCAATTTGAGGGTGCCCCATGCCTCCTGCTCTTGTTCTACACCCTTTACAGCCAGTTCAAAGCTTTGTGGGCTATTTGGGAGCTAAAGAACACCTCACTCTTCTAGACACCCTGAATCCATAGCTCATCTACATAAGAGCACTAAGGGTTATATGTTGATTTTTCACAAACACTGTAAGAGCTTTCAAGATAGAAAGTCAGAAGTCTTCCAGTTAATATGTGAACCAAGATCTACATCTAGGTCAGTTGGTCCAATGATCAGGTTTGTGATTTTTCATGCCCCTGTACCTTGGCAACAGAGAGAACAGGAGAAAGGAACTAAAAATCTTTTTAAAACACCTGCTTCCCTATAACATCAGTGAAATCCTTCCATTTTTTATTCCATTTAGATTGATTTAATCTCTTCATTTCTATTACCAACCCGCTTTTGAACCAGCACGGCATCATTCTGTCCTTCTCCTTTTTTTCCCACTAGATCTTCTAAATGTTCCTGGAACATTATGGAACCCCATGTTTTCCAGGTCTGATGTATGTATGTATATATATATATATATATATATATATATATATATATATATATATATGCACATACACACACATCTCAATGAGTCTAAAATATTCAGTCTCTAGATTTGATTAACAAAGCATGATAGCAGGATGAGGGGAGGATCAGGACACAGATTTTCATTTCTGAAATGCAGGTATTAGACTACATAATCTTGGAAAAGCCATTTGATATATTGAACCACATGAAGTGTTATAATTCTAATCCTTAACTGTGTCCTTTCATAATGGGTAGTGCCACATTATATTCCTAATGTCCCTGTCTCTTTTGGAATGACACCACATAATATTACTGCATCAGCCTTGTGTCAATGTACTCAAATCTATCATCCAAATGTAGTTTCAGTATATACTTCAGAAAGCCTTTAACATACATGATGAAGCAAGAGTTAACATGGGCACACAGGAGGCTCTTCCACAGGGACTTCCTTTCTGCTCTTCCTAATATGTTGTTTCTTTATGGCAAATGATCATGAAATTTACATTTTCTCAACATGAAATTACAGCACAAAGCAAGCTCATGGTTCCTCCATTCAAGAAGTTTCCTAGTGCCTTGCCACTCAGAATAGGGCCCATAGACCTGCAATTGTGAGCACCACCTGAGAATCGATCACATGGTACAGACCTTAGAACCATCCTTGACATATGACTGCACGTTAAAAGATCCCTAGATAATTTGTGTGCAAAGTAAAAACTATAAGGCACTAGACTAGAGTGTCTATCAAATGAGCTGCTCAGCTGGGGCTGGCATTGCCATTCCAGACAAACTTGTTCATAGGGGTTTTTTGTCTCCCATGGAAGAAGAGAAGGCTATTCTTTATAAATTTCTCATCTCTGTTTTCTCTTTGCTCAAAGTAATTTGTTATCCTTGGACATCAAGTAGGAGTTCTCTTGAAGGATTTCCTTAATTTTTGCAAATCTAATTTGCTAAGTCTGTGTGCAAACAAATATAAAGAAAATTAGATGAATCAGATTAGAAGAGTCCATAAAAAGTGAGTTACTGTAAAATTGTCACTGTCCAACAACTAAATCCATCCACAGAGGGTCTCTTGTCACTTGTAGAATATCAAATGACCAGCCTTGACAGACAGACACATATCTCTCCAGTTACGTCAGAAAACAAGATTCTGTAATTTTTTGTCTGAAATACGTGGTAAAATTGAAAGGACCTTTTCACACAGTTGATGCCCAGAACATTGAAAGAACAGTCTCCAGACAGAGGGAGAGTTAGCTGATGCGAATAGCTGACTGAGAAATGAATTACTCTAGATTTAAATATTCTGAAGCACCTCAAAAAGAAAACACCTGTTTGTGAACTCTGAAGACACATCTCTCTGAAGCTATTAGGACCTATTCTGACAAAGGAGACCTCTCCCAAAACTGTAGTGTCTGTGGCGATGGATATAACACAACTCTTAACTCAGGGTTCACAGTCTAAGCAAGCACTCCATGGAGTAACTATAGTGTAAATTACATCGTGCCATTCAACTTCCAAACAATGCCACTCACTTCCATATCAAATCATGTCAATTGATCTTTCAAAGGTTCGTTTGCCCTTCTCGTGGCAAAGATCTTTCAGTGCCTGATCTTCCCTGTCTTCAACTAGCTTTTCCCTTTCCAACTTGTCCTCTGCTGCTATACCTCTCACACCAGCACACTCACTCAAGTTCCCTGACTATGACTCACTGCCACTCACCCACTGGGAACCCTCTGCAGGAGTTTTCACTTGCTCTGTCCTATCTGTGGATTTTATTTCAAGTATATGCTCAAACATCACCTTACCGGAGAGCTGTCTCCTGACCAGCCATATAAAATGTTCATCTCTAC